CCACCATGCTAGCACTTATTTAATGCTATATATTGTAACTGTCTTCACAACTAGAATGCAAACTTTTGGATGGCAAATGCCTACTTTATATCTTTTTACTGCCTACTAAGTATTAACCATTTTTAAAATAAAAGAAAAATTGATCTCATAGGCTAATTTGTTGTGGTTTTTAGCTTACACAAAATATAAGGGTTTTTTAGCTTATATAATAATATTTGAATTTAAGACTGTGGAATCTTTTGATAATTTTGAACAAATCTTTTTGTGTGATCTAACAGAGTGATGGCAGTTCCTGCCACAGTTATTTATTTTACCTGCTATGATCAATTAAGTGCTCTTCTGAGATCTAAGTTAGGAGAAAATGAAACCTACATACCAATTGTTGCTGGAATTGTAGCCAGATGTGAGTAATAAATCTTTATTTTCATTTTGATTTCTGTTTAGAGCTTCTGTTTAAGTTGGGACATTCACAGATAATTTGTACAATATATAGAATATTAGTATGATATATTTTGCCTTATAGTTTATATTAATTTGTTAATATAGGATAGATACTCCAGAAGTCATATGGAATAGTGATTACCATCAGAATGAGATGGGCTCAGCCTATCTTGGTCAAATCATGGACAGAGTTTTTAGAGTGACATCAGAGTTGGTTCTGATTCACCTGAACTTCTGAGGTATCACGTGGGATCATGCATGATTCAGTCCAAAGTTCTGAATCACTTTCCTTAAAACTTTGGGATTCAGAGTTTGATCATAAGGAAAGTTGACTCTATACAGAAGAACGTTTACTCTGCTAAATGGGAGTGGGATTTATTGGGTCAGTAACTGGAATGGGCTTTGGTTTTCATAGTTCTGGTTGATTACAACATTTCTGGAACTGCCGTTGAGAGAGTTGAAACCAGAAAAAGTAAGATATATGAAAATAGACTTTTAAGAAATAACTTTTATCAAGGGAAAAATCTGTGTCAATTATGTTGACATCATTAGATATTTAATTTTAAGGTTTTCAGACATTATAGAATAAAAGTTTAAAAATCATAAAATATATGAATATTAATTTTTACAGTATGTGTATTTGCATAGTACATGGCTTTATTTTTGTTTTCTTTTTTTAAACTTGTTTGTATTAGTTGGTGCAGTAACTGTGATAAGTCCACTGGAATTGATTAGAACCAAGATGCAGTCCAAGAAGTTTTCTTACACGGAACTGCATCGATTTGTCAGCAAGAAAGTATCTGAAGATGGTTGGATTTCCCTTTGGAGGGGCTGGGCTCCTACTGTTCTTAGAGATGTACCTTTCTCAGGTAGGATTTATCTTATTTGTAGCTACTCAATTTTACGTAGCTTTGTTAAATATTACTGTTACTAGATTTTTAACTCTTTACCATTAAAGGTAAGTTATTGTCTGTAGTGACCACAAACTCCTTTTTCATTGTTGGGCTCTCAGATCTTTACAAGCTTTTATTGAATGAATAGTTTTTATTCAAGCTTGTTATTAGTTTTTATACATTAATTAGTAGGTATTCATATTCAGAGAATGCAAAGTACCTTTAACATTCTAAATAAGTCATTTAGTATTATTCTAAACAATTAGTAAGATAAGTAAAACAACTACGAATCAAAGGATAGAATCCATAAGACCACTTTGGAATTATATGGGCTCCTACTTTTTCAGTTATTAAAAATAAACATCTCCCCATTAAATGATTATCCTGTAAAAGACTATTACAAATCAAGTAGGCTATTGTACTACTTACTCAATTATGAAAAGGGAGAAAATTATGGAAAGTGAGAAGTACAAATCTACCAGTAACTTATATAATGTACATACTCTAGTGGCATTTCCCCTGTGGGTTATAGAAGTTTTTAAGACCCAAAAGAAATACTTATCTAGAGAGAAACTCTGAATAATAATATCTATATCCTTTAAAAATCATGAAACCACAAATATGTTCTTTCACTGTCACAACCCCAGTGGTAACCAGTATATTAAATGCCATTCATTTGATGAAAAGAATTAGTTTTCCCACATACATATTATTGCCAAACATTGTATTAGTTAGTTTTGCCTATTTTTGAAAATCCCCTTTTACTAAAAGATTTTCCTAAGATTCCTTCTTGTGTTTTAGGTAACTGTTTTCTTCATTTTTACTCATTTATATGTGAGTAAACAACTAAGACAATGCTGCTATGAAAATTTTTAATCAGTTTCTTGGTGCACCTTTGAAAGTTTATCCAGTATTGGATTTGTTGGTTCATATACATACATACATTTCAAATTTTACTAGGTAATATAGAACTCTTTTCTAAAGTGATTGTGTGATCTACCTACCTACCAGCAATGTATGAAATTTTCTGCTGCTTCACACCCCTTCCAGTGTTTTTATTGTCAAAGTTCTTAATTTTTGTTTAATAATTTAAAGTGGTATCTCACTTTAATTTGCGTTTCCCTGGTGTTTTAATAAGATTGGGCACTGTTTCATTGGCATTCATTTATTCATAATTGATTTGGGGTTTTGAAATTGAAGTAGGTTTTAAATTTCATTTTCCTCCCACATGGATAGCTGGTTGTCCCAACATCACCTGTTGCAGTGATCCCCAACCTTTTTGGCACCAGGGACTGGTTTTGTGAAAGACAGTTTTTCCATGATTGGAAAAACTGTGTGTGTGTGTGTGTGTGTGTGTGTGTGTGTGTGTGTGTGAGATTGGTTTCAGAACGAAGCTATTCCACCTCAGATCACCAGGCATTAAATTTTCATAAGGAGCACGCAACCTAGATCCCTCACATGTGCAGTTAGCAATAGAGTTCTATGAGAATATATTGCTACTGCTGATCTGACAGGAGGTGGAGCTCAGGAGGTAATGCTCACTTACCCGCCGCTCACCTCCTGCTATGTAGCCCAGTTCCTAACAGGATACAGATCAGTACCAATCCTCAGCCCTGGGGTTGTGGACCCTGATCTATTGAATAACCATAATTGCTCCAGGGATCTGCATTGTTATCTCTGTCATATAACATTTTCACGTATGCATGGATCTGTTTCACTGGTTAATGTTTCTGACTTCAGGCCAATACCACACTGAATTATTAGTGCTCTATGAAAAATCTTTTTTTTTTTTTTTTTTTTTGGCAGGGTCTCACTCTGTTGCCCAGGCTGGAGTGCAGTGACACAATCACGGCTCACTGTAGCCTTGATCTATCTACAAGGCTCTAGTAATCCTCCCACATCAACCTCCTGAGTAGCTGGAACTAAAGGCGTGTGCCACCATGCTTGGCTAAGAAAAATCTTGATGTCACTTTATTTTTCTTCCCTAGGAATGTCATCTCTTTATGTTAATAATAAGTCTTTAAGAAGTTGTTTTAGGAGAGATTCAAATTTTTCTTCATCAAGGTTGTATTCATCTCTTTTTTCTGACGTTTAGTTATAGGTGCACCCCACTGTCCCCAGCTTTTAGTAGCTATTTTTAAAGCTCTTTTTTAATTTTTTAAAATTAAATCTTTGTAGTTGGTACAGTTGCAATTGATTTTTTTCTATAGCTTATATCCA